TAAACACTGTAGGTTAGCCTGTTTATTAATAATATTTCGTCAATATAATCATTTTGGATTTCTTCTTAAATCGGCTTTCTGGAATACCTAGCAATATAACTTTGGGTTTTATAACTTTGCATAAAATTATAGCTGTCCTTTTTGCTTGTCCTACCTCCTGCTGACTCATAGAATCAACTTTAAAATAGAAAAGCTATATTTATTTTCCATAATGCTGCTACAGTGATGGTTAAAAATAACTCTGATATGCTCTTAATTAAAGCTGCATGCAGACTTTGTTCTAATTGAGAAATAATTTTATAAACTAATTTGGATATCTGGGAACTGTTAACATGCAGTAGATCTTCCTAACTTGCTGCCTTCAATTTTTTTGTATACTGATTTGAAAGAAAACCCTGATGAGGTGATAATAGACCCTGAATGAGTGAATATGTTTTGAAGGAAAAAAATTATATAAGTGTAGAGAACTATCAAAATCTTGATTTAGAGGACAGATGTTAGAAGATATTCAGATTATAAATATTTTCTTATATTGTTGCCCTGAAATGTTATAGTATGTGAAATTTTGCTTGTTTACTTTGTTATTCCATCAAGCTTCTTTGGGAGAAGAAAAATGTATTTTACTTTGTTAACCCAATCAAACTTCTTTGGGAGAAGAAAAGTGTCAGCCTTTCTGTGCCAATTCTAATGCCTCTTATAATACTATTTAATTGCTGAAAAGTTCTTATAAATGGTAGTCTCATAAATGGTATTTACAGTATAATGGTGTTCTTATAAATGGTATTTATATTATAATCTTATTTCCAGATATACAGTTTACTTATGAGTTCAGAATCAACATCTATGCCTGGTGCTAACCCTATTAATTGATTGTTTCTATTGAAGCTTAATTATTGAACCAAGACAATTACAAAAGCAAGATTTTTTCCTTTAGGAATATTTTTCTGAGTGGTATCTATTACCATGTGTCTGACCTAGCTAATCAGAAGGAAATTATTCTGCTGTGGTTATTTGTGCTATCAGCTTCATCAATGTGCAAGTATTAGTGAACCACAGTCATTTCTTTTATATGTTTATTCCTGATTTTTACATGGCTTCCATCTCTACACTTTATTGTCCCTTCTATTGGTAAACAACATTTCTGACAGTTGCTATTATCATAGGGCTAAATTTGTATATAAATAATTTGTGCATACACTACTTCTTTCACATTTACCTCTCTACCCCTCCTTCCATTCATGCTCAATGTTCTATGCTCAGTGTACAGGGTATTAAAAGTAGCATACAACATAGTCTTGTCCTCAATAACTTATCTATTGAGGGGAAAATGTAAAAAATTAAAAGTTTTACATACAAAATAAGTAAACAGTATAAGCTAACATAGTAGTTACAAGGAACATATTTTGGGCTGTAATGATAGAATCTGTTGACAGAGTCAGAAGGATAGTCTGATATAATGGGAAAAGCATTAAGACAATGGATTGAAACCAGGTGTTCAGCTGTATGACTTGCTAACCATTGTAACCTTGTGACTTTGGCTTTCAGAATTAATGTTTCTCATCTGTAGTTTGAGAACCATGGTCATGATGATTTATTCTCTGTCTACTTCTTCACTTTGTGACTCTTATTTTCAAAATTATATCACTGTTCTTTTATATAAAAATAAAAACATTAAAGTGTGATCCCAACCTAAGAATGTGTTTTAATTTTCATTATCAACTGTGATTTATACTCTAATATCACTAAGTGAGAAATGCTAAAAGTTCAATGGGGCAGAGGAATAATGCTGATATTTAATATGTATTTTATTTAATAGGGAGAGGAAATGACAGTAACAGGGCTGTGATACAAATCTGACTTTGGGGACAATCTATGCCTACAATCATTTTGAAACTAATAATAATTATTATGAATAACAGATAATTATACCCACCATTTATTGAACTCTTAGTATGTGTGCCAGGGAGTCTAAGAACTTTCCATATATTAATCTTAACTTAATCTTAACTTAATCTTAAGAATCAACCATTGTTCTCATTTCCTAGAGAGGAAAACTGGCTCAGAGAGATTGTCTATGTCAAAGTGACATTGCTAGTAAGTAACCAGAGCAGGATTTGGTTCTACTTCTAGGTCTAATTTCTAAGCTTGTTTTCTTATCTAGTAATTTGCATAGTTTTGGTATGGTAAGTTTATTTTATTTAGATTTTTAAAAAATTTATTCATACAAGAGTGGAGGGGTAGGTCAGAGTGTGGGAACAGGGGGCTGAGTGGTGAGAGGATTCACCATAGATAGAGTATGGAGCAAAAGAGGCAGATTTACTGAAACACCTGCTGAGGAGAGCAGTGGGAGAGACAGGAGAGGTGTGCTGCACCATGTGGAGCAGCTCCCTGTCTGGGATCAAACTTGTTCTGTACTGGCTACGGATAGCTTCATAGTGCTGAGACTTAACCCCTTGCTCCATTGGAGATGCCCCCAGCAATGTTAAGTTTACATGAAGTGATATGATCTGCTGATGTAGTTATTAAATCTGGGACTTACATAGTATATTATTTCATGCAAAGGGATAAAACTATAGAAGAAACAGGCCAGTTCATGGAGAATTTGTATGCTCTGTATGAGAAATTAAGCTCAATTTTTGTGAATAATAAGGAGCAGTAAAGGTTTCAAGTATAGAAATATGATAATTACTTGCCTGGTGCTCAGTACATACTAAGCATATGAATGAATGGGATTTGCCTTTTAGATTATCCTGATGACAATATAGTTTTGGGGAAAGTAAGACTGGAAATAGGAAAACTAAGAGTTTGGGAAAAGATGGCAGAGCCTGATTCAGTCACAGGAACTGGCTGTTATTAGCAAGAGCCATTTATGTGTATTTTGTCCCCACTTTAGTGACCTCAAAGTGATAGTTTGAAACCAGCAATGGTGGGTGCATTTATACCACAAAACTTGACAAGCACAGTGACAAACATTTACACTTACTTTACAAATAAAGAATTTTTTTGAGAGCTGACTAACACACTGCTGGCCTAAGTAAAAGCAACCAGGGGACTAGAGAGGATTGAATACTTACTAGATGGGCTAATTAGGTAGAATCAGCAATATTTATCACCAGTTGGTTAAAGGGGAAGACTGTAAAATGATTAATCAAGTTGCCAACTTAGATGATTCAGATGGGATACTTGTTCCCTTCGCCAAGAAAAATAATTCAGGATAGTGCAAAGAAAATTTTGTTCAGAGAAAAGTGAAGCATCTGTGGTAAAGATATACAGAAGAGAGTGGTTGGATATGGGATTAAAGGAAGAAATCTAGAGTCAATAAAAATGTAAAAATCATGATTATGTAATAGATAGTTGAAGTCACAGTAGTTGATGAACACAAAAGAAAAGGAAAAACTGGAAAAGAAGTGGTAAGTATTCATGAAACCATATGCCTTTTGATTCAAAGAACTTAAAGTAGGCATACATTTGCTTTGTAAATACTGCCTGGAATAAAGTTATCACTGTAATGTATGTTTTAAATACTGGCAGAAAACTATACAGGTGATATAGGAACTCTACAGCAGGCTATAAAATGACACTTTAATATTGTTTAAATAGCCAACAGTTTAACTTTTTATCAAAGATTTGAAACACAATAGTCTACAAAAATTGAAAACAATGGACTAAAATGTATCTCTTACTTCTATCTTAGTACCTATTGTAATTTTTTTTTTTTTGCCTTTGCAGCTAGATATTGTACAGGAAATGGGAAGGAGAATCTAATGCTGTGTTCTTTGTGGTTGGGACCTTGTATAGTATGTTCTGATTTTTTTAAAAAAAATGATTTCTCCCATGACTAGATGGAAGGTTTGAAGCAGACCTAATTGTTTGCCACTTAAAAAAGTGAGATTAATCTTTTGTAGCACCTAAAAAAAAAGCTAATGTTACAAAGCTACAGAAAAGAAGGTACCCTTAGCTCAATACCACACTGGTAAATTTCCTAACAAACTTACCAACTGAGGCATAATAGGGGAAAGGCTGTGTCAGGAGGAAGCATGTTTTTAGTAAGTAGAATGTAAAAACCTGGTTATCTTTACATCTTCCGAATATATTTCATGCTGTTGCTTATACAGAATAATATTCTTCAGCACATCAGTCTCATACGGTGTTCTTGTCATATGTTCCCAGTATTTTGGTTTGGGAACACTCTTGATACAGTCCAATATGCTTATCTGCAGTGGAGGAATTGATACAAAGGTATTTGACATTTCTGGATCAAGACCTTAATGCTGGGATTAGAAATGGGATCTCCATACAATTCATAGCCAAAGCCTACACTCCACAAATTAAGCAGTGTTGCTCTCAGGCTTGTGGACAATATCACCAATTGTTGCATGAGTGCAGCAATGGTTTAGAAGGGTATTGCTTTACATGCGACCCAACAGTAACGGGCATTAGATCTTGCTAAACCTTGAGGAAGTTGTTAAAAACGCTGATTAAGGGGCCCTCAACATACAAACTGAATCAGGATCTGTGGTGCAGTACCGCAGAAAATGCATTTTTAGGTTTTAACACGCCCCACCCCTAAATCCCTCCCCGGGAGCATTTTTGGACCCTTACACTACAATCTCAGCTAGAAGGGACGGATTCTGGTGCGCGCGCATCACCCGCCAACTTGACCGAGCAATGCAGGCAGCACAGCGATACAGAGTCCCCGCAGTAAAGCGTCTGTTACGTACAAGCCCTTCCGGCCGTCACAGGCAGCGCCGGCCAATGCTGGGTCAGGGGTAGCCTGCAGCCATACCTCCATCAGCTTCCGCGCCCGGCAGCGAAACCAACTGTGGAGGGGGGCCGGGGCAGAGGCGGCACAGCAGCGCCCCTCGGAGGCCGGACCCTCCGCATGCGACGCAGTCCCGCCCACCGAGGAGCCAGTACGGCGTCTGCGCAAATTCTGCCTTGCCCCGCCCCCTATTTACCAGCCGGAAGTTAACCAACTTCCCATAGTGCTGCGCGAGTGGCGGGTATGATAACAAATTCACTAGGCTTGCACTTGGGTTCACGTTGTCATTGTTGGGGTTGTTCTCCTGTGTTTAGGAAGCTCTAGGAGACTGGGGCCCAGTCACTACCTTGTCTGCGGCTGCAATGGCCCTCCTCCGGGGCATGTGGGGCGTGCTGAGTGGCCTGGGAAAGTGCGGAGCGGACCTCTGTGCGGGCTGTGGAAATCGACTACGCTTTCCGCTCAGGTAAGACAACGCGCTTGCGCCTCTGGAGGAGGCATGGTTCTGGTCTCCCGGGCTGGAATAAGGTACTTTCCTCCACTTTCTGCCCTTCTTAGGAGGTTAGGGCCACTTTGGTCCTTGATTCAGACCTTGACCTTGCCAAAAGATTTGACGAATTTTGAGAGCAGGCTTTACTTCTGAGTTCACAGTGGCTTACTGCCGGGCACTCTTTACCTTCCCCTTACAGTCCCCACTACCTAGCCCGGAACACCCTTTGAACGTCCTCTGGAGTGGCGCCTAGAGTCTCCCGCCACCATCTATTTAAGCGTTTAGGAGGCGGGGCCCAGGATTTGGAGTATAGATGCTTTCCTCCACGCTTTGCCTTTCTTAGGAGCCTAAGGGCTTTGAGACAAGTGTGGGATTCTCTTCTGTTTGGTTAGGTCAGGATTTTTAAAAGTCACTAGCTGTCTTGTCGAAGGTTTCGGTATATATATAGTTTATCTAATGTGGGATTGTTATGTTGACAGATAAATACTTGACATTGGTTATTTTTATTTACATGTAGCTTTGGGTATATACCGCGATGGTTTTCATCCACAATGAATGGTTATCCAAAGAAACCTATGACTTCCTATGTTCGGTTTTCCAAAGAACAGCTACCCATATTTAAAGCTCAGAACCCAGGTAAGAAGTTTTTGGGCTTGTACTTTTCTCTGATATAGTAAAGAGGCTACTAAGTAGTTGCAATGCTAATTTGATTTGCACTGCCAAAGTGACGCAGAACAACATTCTATTCAGTGTCTCCAAATAAGAGGAGGTATAACATTTTCTGCCAAGTAGAAATGCTTCAGTTGAGAACTAATCAAAGATACCTTTACAATAGTGTGTAGTGTGGCAAGCATCCAGAGAAGATTAAAAGGCTGAATTTTGAGTCTTATTTGCGTTTCCTAGATAGTAATTGATGAATTCTTTTGTCTCTCTTTGCTTAGCTCCTTTTGTTTTAGGGAATTGCTAATGAAGTAATGAAGTGATACTGAAATAATTTATGTAGAAGTGTAGAGTAAAATGTAAACCTAATATTACTAATATTAATATTAAGAGCTCTTTATGCTGAAAAAAAAAATCTATTCTTATCTTGAGTTTCTGAAATTTCCAGGTAGGAGGTTTGGTGCCTCCCTACAAAGATGATGGGGGCTTTCTTGGGATTAGAGTGTAAATAAAGATAATAGCTAAATAAATAATAGCTAACCTTTGTTTATGACTTCTAGATACTTTTCACTACAGGGCACTTGTGAAAACCAGAGGAACTGTAATCATTCTCACATTACAGAGAATTGGCTTAAGAAAATTGGTTTAAGTATATATTTTTAAAATGTAAGAGTTGAAACTAACAACTCTTCATTTATACTCTTATTTCAGTTAAGATAAGGAAGAAAATTGGGAATAGTGAATTACTTTATGACAGTTTTGTTTGTTAATGTTATTTTTGTAACTGAAATATAAGACTATTTTGGTGTTTAGTAAGGTTTTATGAGTAATGACCTGATTTGAAAAAAATGCAAATTTGTTGAATATTAAATAAACAATTAAAAAAATTGGCCCTCCCTGGTGGCGCAGCGGGTTAAAGCACTGCACTAAGAAGCTAAAGCCACTTCCGCATGAGTTCGATCCCTGCCTGCCCCAGAGGTGACCACATGGCGTGGCAGACCTCTCCTGGCCCGCCCACGGCTCCCCTCAGCAGTGTACTTCGTCGATCTGCCTGTTCTGCTCCCCACTCTGTCCCTGGTGAATCCTCTCACCCTCCGCATCTCTAGCCTGTACCCCAGTTCTGTATGAATAAATAAATAAATCTTTAAAAAAATATATATATATAAAAAAAAATTGCTTACCTATTTGCTTAAACCAGTAATCTCTGTGGATTGGTTTGGTGGTATGTGATATTTTCCTTAATTGTTAGATAATAGATTTTAATAATCTAGATAAATTTTTTAATCATAGTTAAGTGGTTAAAGAAATGCTAACTAGGGCCCTCCCTGGTGGCACAATGGGTTAGGATGCAGCACTGCAAGCTGGCAGACACTTCAGTGTGAGTTCAGTCTCCTGCCCTGGAGGTGACCCACATGGTGTGGCAGACCTCTCCTGACCTGCCCTCTGCTCCCCTCAGCAGTGTAATTCATTGATCTGCCTGTTCTGCTTCCACCTCTATCTCTTGTGAATCCTCTCACCTCCCTTGCGCCTCTGGTTTGTACCTCAGTTCTGTATGCATAAATAAATAAATCTTAAAAAAAGAAAAGCTAACTAATTGAATTGTATGTGGGATACAGGTTGTCTATAATAAAACTTAATATTAGAGCTAATGTTTATGCTTTCTTGGAATTCTTTAGAAAGTAACCTTCCAGACACAAAATTTTGACCTTTCTTCTATCTTTTTCCAATCCACAGATGCGAAAAATTCAGATCTAATTAAAAAAATCGCTCAGCTATGGAGGGAACTTCCTGAAGAAAAGAAAAAAGTATGCATATAGGTTTTCAACATTGCCGAGTGGTTATCCTGCAATTAACAGTTGTTATATCCTTTAAGAGGGTAGATGACCCACATCTTTTTTAAACATCTATGACCTACAAAGAACCTTTAAACTTCTAATCCACATATATGATGAAAATGTAAATAGATGTATGGGGAGAGATGATGAAGTGTTGGCAACAAATTGAAATTGAGAGCTAGTTGCTGCACTCTCTCCTTGGTTACTTGTATATGAAAAATACATGTTTTTAATCCCTGTGAACCTGATCCCAAAGCACACTTTCCAATTAGTGGTTCAGTTTGTGTCTGAAATCATGTCATTGTCTTTCTTTGACAGGCATACTATGTTTAATTCACATGGACATTGCTACTTTAATGACTTATTATTTGGGCTTTTTTATTTATAGATATATGAAAATGCTTACAGGGCAGATTGGGAGGCCTACAAAGAAGAGATAAACAGAATTCAAAAACAGCTAACTCCAAGTCAGATGGTATCTTTGGAAAAAGAAATCTTGCAAAAACGTTTAAAAAAGAAAGCATTACTAAAAAAGAGAGTGAGTATTATTGAAATATTCTTTTCCTTCAGCAAGAAACTGAAATTTATGTATGTAACAAAATAGTTTTCTCTTACTGTGGGCATAATGTAGAAAGTCATAACGTATACTCCAGTTAGGGAAAAAATAAACTTACTGTCTTCTGCCACCAGAATTATTTGCTGTTGAGTCTTGGAAGTTCTTGTTACTTTTGTAAAATTTGAATTTAAAAGACAACATTAGGATTAGCATGGAAAAGATGTAGAAACAGTTCTGGAACAGCTAAACGAGGGGTGGCAAGACTCTGCTGTTGGACCTTGTTCAGAAGAGCTTACTGATTTGAATTGTTCTAGAGGTAATGGGGAATTTGATTCTGAACATTGCTGAATACACTTGAGGTCATTAACAAATGAGGGAGAAGTGCCTCTTGTATCTGATTAAACAAGAAGTTACTTTAGGTTGGAATCTTGGTTTTCCTCATTAAAAATCCCACATCGCTTAAAAATGTGAAGTTCTCAGCTTAAAATATCAATCAAACTATTTCTCATTGTTTGAAAGTTCTAGGTTACTTTACATTTTTCAGTAGGTTAGAATTGGGTGTGAAGTATTTAACTAGCTGGCCTATGTATATACTATAGAAAATGGTCATCAGAGTTAAAACAATTTCCTGAAAATTTGCGGGATGCCCAGATATCCAAATGTCTCTTCCTGATTAGCACTCCCTGATTAGCAATAGGATTAGACTCACCCATTTTCAAATAATGATGGTATCTAAGACTACAATTAGTAAAAGGAAATCAGAAAAGGTATCTAGTTGAGAAAAACAGTCTCTAGATATAAGGATCATATATTATATTTAGAAGGGTAAATACTAACCTAAAACTAAAGTGTACTCTCCTTCTTTTGCTCTTCCTCCTAATTGCATACCCGTTCAGTTCTTAGAGTGGAAATCAGAAATGAGGACTGGACTGATAATAAGTTAGCTTTTACATATCTGCTATTCTTTTTTTTTTTTTGTCTCTTTTCTGGTATTCCCATTATGTGTTTGTTACATCTATTCTAGTTGTCCCACAGCCTTTGAATATTGTTTGACTTGTTTTTCATTTTCTTTCAGCTTTTGTTCTTTTAGCGTTTGAGTTTTTGAAGATTGTATTAATGTAATCTTTAGCGCAGAGATCCTTTCCTCAGCTGTGTCTGGTCAGCTAATAAGCTTATCAAAAAAGAGGCATTCTTTTGGTTTTGATTTCTAGATTGCTCCCCACAGGCCCCCTTCAGATTTCCAACACTGCTTAAATTATACATCTGTTCAGATCTCTCAGCATGTCAGTCATAGTTGCTTTAAATTCCTCACTGGTAATTCCAACATTTCTGTCTTGGAATTTTTTTCATTATAGCTGGATATGATTTCCTGGCTACAGAACTGTAAATAGGCCTTAGTCACTGGTGGTGAGGTGTGGAAGCTGGGGAAGTAATCTGTAGCCCTGTGACTAGGCCCTGGACTTTTCCTGGGCCTATACTCAAGACTGTCAGCTTCCGGGGCCTATACTCAAAGACTGTCAGCTTCACAAGTGTCAGTTTCTCAAATGTTTCACCCCTTTTTCCTCCTTAATGGGGGCTAGATAGCTAAAGTGGGCTGGTGTTGGTTAGTAAACACTCTCAGGCTACTAGTTAACTAGTTTCTCTTGGGGGTATCTAGCACTGTGGCACTTCAAAATGTTCCTTTTGCTCTCCTGTTCAAAGCAGAGGAGATTTTTCTTGATATTTACTATGGGAATCTGGTTATAATCTTGGAGTTAAATTCACAATATTGTGAGGGCTCCACCTGTAATTGGGCTCTTCCATCCCCAGATCACCCACACTGGAGTTTTTTTTTTTTTTTTTTTAAAGATTTATTTATTTGTGCATACAGAATACAGAACTGGGGTACAGGCCAGAGGCTCAGGGGCGGCAAGAGGCTTCACCAGAGACAGAGTGGGGAGCAGAAGAGGCAGATGGATGAAGTACACTGCTGAGGGGAGCAGCGGGCAGGTCACGAGAGGTCTGCCACACCATGTGGTCACCTCCGGGGCAGGCGGGAATAGAACTCATGCGGAAGCGGCTTTAGCTTCTTAGTGCTGTGCTTTAACCCGCTGCGCCACCAGGGAGGGCCGAGTTTTTAAACTGTTAGACTTGTCCACACTGGGCCACCAGCAATTCATTAATTACAGTTCAGGTTTCTTACCCTGGCATTTCAGTGGTTTCTGCTCAGGTAAGGCTAGACTCCTTGTATTTATCAACCTTGTTTTTCCAGAGTTAGGGGCATTTGTTTGCCTTGTGTCCTTCTCTTTCTCAAGGATCCAAAAAATGTTGATTTTTCAGTCTATATCATTTATTACTATCAGGAAGGAGTAATGATGTCCAAGTTCCTTAAAGGTACAATCAGAAACCTGAAATCTGAGTGTATTTTCCCCTCACACTTCAATTCTCATTCCCTGTTGGAATTTTTCTTCTTATTACAGATTCCTACTACCAACTAGTTTGAGATTAGATGAAGAGTCTGGGAACCAGGAAGTTGCAAGTGAAATACATAGTAGAGAAATGCCTGCAGTTGCTCTTTTTTGTTCAAGATTTATTTTATTTACTTATGCATATAAGAACTCAGGTACAGGCCACAGATGTGGGGGAGGACAGTGAGAGGATTCACAGGCTGGGGGTTGGTGAGGATTCACCAGAGATAGAGTGGGGAACACAGCAGGTGGATCTACTGAATTATACTGCTGAGGGGAGCAGTGGGCTAGACTGGAGAGGTTTGCTGCACCATGTGGATCACCTCCCTCACCGGGAATGGAACAGTGACTGTTCCATGCAGTGGCTGGTGATAGCTTGATAGGGCTTAGATTTTAACCCTGTGCCACTAGGGATGCCCCCTAACAGTAGCCTTTGAAACAAAAGCGGCAATAAGTAAAATTGCAACATTTCCCCCAATACACTATAGTTTCATGCCTGAGAGGTCCAGGAAGAAGTGATTTCTAGATGTAAATTAGGGGAGTTCTACTTTTACTGACAGAGGAAAGTAAGTTAGGTTTGTTACTGGTCGTAACAAATTGCCTTTAAAACCAGGTAAGTACTGCTCATTGTTCAAATTCAGAAACTAAGTAGGTTAGGATAATGCAATATCCTCATCTTCTGAACTCAGAAACTGATGTAGATTGCAAGAGAAATTTGTATTCTTTTCCAACTTTTCTTTTCCTCCTCCCTTTGATACCTAGTAAAAAATAAAATCTACCACATCTATTTACCACATCTATTGAAGTTTCAAGGTCAAGAAATGTGCAGAGCAAGAAATGAAAGATGATTTAACAGATACTCACTTTGGTACTTCACAGTGTTCCTTTGCTCTCCCTCTGCCCAAAGCAGAAGATTTTTCTTGATATTTACTATGGGAATCTTGTCACAGCCTTGAAGATAAATCTCATAATACTGTGAGGGCCTCCTTATAATAACAAGTCAGTGTTCCTGACTTGTGTATGCATGTGGTAATTTGACCAAAGATGACGTGGTCGTACCCTGTAGGGGAAGAAACAGATGATTTTGTTTAAAAAAAATATTTTGTAAATATATGTGCTCAGTTATACAGTTTATGAAAATAATATGTAAAGGAACTATTTTTACATGAAAAATAACTCAAATTTATTATGATTACAAAAAGTGCTATCAGAAAATTCTGAACTTCAGGGAATACTTATAGACTATATGAGAATTGAAATGTTTAAGGAACATTTTGTAGTGCATAGTAGTAAATAATTTTCTGTAGGTAAAATAAGTCTCATGAATGTTCAAATTATATCTAAATCTTCCATTTTTATTACTCAGGAATTAACACTGCTTGGAAAACCAAAAAGACCTCGCTCAGCTTACAACATTTATATAGCTGAAAGATTCCAAGAAGCTAAAGATGGCTCAGCACAGGTAAAAAGAATGCATTTTTCCCCCATATTCAATTTTTAAGATACTTAGATTTTGGGGTGTCATATGTCAGATAGAAAAGAAAAATTGTAAATTACTACAAATAAGCATTATATACTTTTTTTTAGAGAAAAATTCTTCCTTACCACATATAATTAATTTGAATATGTATTTTCAGAACTATGCATTAAAATTCTAGGGATTTTTCTTAACCCAACAGTACTTTTTGTTTCATGATCACTGGGAAAGAAAGAGTAGTGTCAATATTTTGTATAATAGTATATATAAAGTAACAATATAATATTTTGTACTGGGATTTGAGTATAATTTATGCTTCATGTTAAATCCTCTTAAGAAGTTCTGGTTATGACTGTGGGAATGTACATATACACATCATATGACTGTCAAAAAAACAGTTTGTTACTACTGTTATGGCTAGTCTTTCCTTTATTCCCTTTTAAGGAACTCCAAATTAGCAATTGTATTTTTTTCTTTTAAAAATGTCATGATGAAAGTCTTTTCAGGCCTCTCACTCTTGTCCACCTGACATGAAAGCTTTTGCCATTCTGCCTTTAGGTTATTTGGACTTATAGTTCATATCATACATTCCCTTTAACATATGATAAAATATGGTGTATCTATGATGCAGTCTTTCCTGACTACTTAGTTTCACTTTCTTTTGGATTTTAATTCAATTTCTGTTGACTCTACATTACTAAAATGCACGCCTTGCTTTTTTTTTTTAAGTTGGAATTTGCTCCATCACTAACTTTTGATACAAGTTCCCTACTGCTTGCACCTTAGAATCACATAGGATGTTTAATTACTGGGCTCTCCTTGGAAATTAAAATTAGCAACTATATAATTTTCATTCATTTAAAAGTAGTGGTTTTTATTTACAGCCTCATAATTTAAAGAATCAAAATTAAACATGTTATGAATGCTAGTTTTTCTGTGCTTTTATATTCCTTACTGCAGAAGCAAAAATATGTCATTGTAGCTGATTCTTGTAAATATTTATTTCCATCTTTGTAAATAACATCTTTATATTCTTTTTCAACTTTAACTACTGCCGATATGTTAGGCATTACGTCCCACCAGTTAATGTAACATTTAAGTCTTATTCTACTGCTCATGTTTCCATTCCCCTACCTCCCAAGATAGTTCTCATAATTTTGGCTAGGTCACTAATGAGTTTTTACATTATGGATATGTAAATCCTATTCATAGCTGAATGATGCCATTTGTTATGATTATTTTTCCTGTCCTACAAATATTTTCTCTCAAGTTGATTATGTTTTGTTGGTTTTGTTTGCTTGGTTTTATATGTACTATAAAAACTCTTCAGTATTCCCCAGCTTTTAGTGCATTTATATGTAGACATATTTTACCAGTTTTAGTCTGGAATCTTTTAAATACTCCAGTTTGATTGTTGCCTTATAGCCACAATGCACAGCTAACTTCTGGGGGTCTTAATCAACCTTGTCTGCTTTGGTTTACTGAAACTGTCACAGTATGCTCCTTTGTAAGGGTACCTGTGAGATTAAAATTTTGAGTTCTTGTGGGTCCAAAAATATTTTTATTCCTACATTTTGTTTGGTAGTTTGGGCATAGACTTCTAGAGCTGGAAATCATATATTTTCAAAATATTAAAAATATTGCTTCTTTAAAACTTTTTTGATTTTTGGTTCTTTGAAAGTAATTTGGTTTCTTTTTTCTCTCCTACCCTTCTCCTCCTCTTCTTTTTTTGTATTGTTTTTCTTACCCTTTTTCTATGGAATACTGTATATACTTTGGCTTAATTGCTCTGTTTTCAGCATGGTGTCTTGTTCCCAACCTCACCAGGTGTCCACAAAGTTAACTCTTTTACCCTTTCAGATGACTAATGTCCTAGAATATGCTCATGGTGGGGATTTAACCTCTTTTTAAGTAGACTTTCAATCAGTTTCCCTGTTTTTGCCTGACATTCACCTTTATTTTATACCTGTCTTTTGTTGCCAATTCCTGAGCTACTTGGGAATTCTCTATTGTAAATCAGTTTACTTTTTTGGATTTTCCCACTGTAAGCTTGGGAATTAGCTTTCTTGGATTAGGTAAGTCAGTAACCATTTCTCCATTTGTATTTTGGCTTCTAAAATTTTGTAATGGTAATACTTTCTTCTGTTGTCTATGCATGTGGGTTCACCCCTTAACATTTTTTGTTTTGTTTTTAATTATAAAAACAACAAAAATATATTTATTGTTCACAGTTTTGGAACCTGGGAAGTAAAAAATCAGGGCACCATTTTAACTATCTCCTCACGAAGGTCCTTTTCTGAGTTCAAGTGCTTTTTAAATAAGTTCTCATGTGATAGAGGGCCTTATTTAGTGGAATTTTAGGAGGGCAGAAAATTAATCATCTATACACCACTTTTTAAAAAAAATATATCGTTTATTAGTTTATTTTTACATCATACTGTGCCTTTTTCCATCTCAGTTGTAATCCCCGTGGGCTTCCCATCCCTTTGCTTTTTTTTTTTTTTAAGGGATTATTTGCTTAAGTGAAAGATACAGTAGGTTCACAAATTATTTTTTTAATTCAGTGAATATAAACCTTTATGAATAATTAAAAAGATTTGAAAAAATTGAGAGTATTAAAATAATTCTTTCCAAAGCTAAGAGTCAGAGTAAATATTTAGTAATTTGTCTCTGCATATGTTAGATATATTTATTAGAGTGAATTTAAAATGTCTAAAATGTCGTGGCTATATAGTCTCAGATACATCTACTACCTTACAAAAATAAAATTTAGTTAATGTTCACCCTGCTTGTTAAAACCATCATTTATCACTTCCTAGCTTTAAAGAGATACTTTTAGATCATTTATTTCTCCATTATGTAGTCCGCTTCCCCACCCCTCTGTCTCCATCTCTGCTCCTCATTTCCCTTCCAACTATTTTTTCTCTCTGTCTCTCCTTTAACTGTGGTTTCTCTGCATCTCTTGAGTTTTATAAGTGAATAGCCAAGTCTAAGGGCAGTAATCTGATTTTTCCCAAATCACATAGTAAAGTTAAGCTAAGTAGAAATAAGTACTGGTATATTATTCCTATCACTATATCTAAACTCTCTCACAGATTTTAGAATAAAAGCTACATCAAGAATAAAAACACTAAATCTTTTAAGCTAATATGTAAGAGAATGTAGATTATATTTGAATATTTCAAAAAGATAAATCTGCATAGCGAAGGAAACCATCAACAAGAAATAAAGGCAACTTGTGGAATGAGAGAAGATATTTACAAATCATGTATCTGATGATAGTAATACCCCAAATATATAAAGAACACATATAACTCAATAGCAGAAAATACAATCAAATTTAAAAATGGGCAAAAACCCAGAATAAACATTTTTACAAAGAAGACATACAGATGGCTAACATACATTGGTGCAGACCCACTGAGGGGTGCGCCCACCGCTAGCCGCCCAAACATAGGAGACTCAAAAGAAACTGAAGCAGGAACCTGGGGTCTGAAGTCCAAAGTCTGTTTATTAGGACTGCCCATGGCTATATATAGGGTCTGTAGGTGCAGGGAAAAACAGGAAATGTGCCCAATGCAGGGGGTTGGGGGTGCATGTTAGTACCTGACCTAGGGGCTTCCTGTAGTTTCTGCTTGATACAAAATAGTGGGCTGCAGCTATTTGCAGGACAGAGTGCACTGTGTTCTGCTGGCTTGTTTGTTGGCCTTATTGGGGAGTGTGCTCACCCATGCACAGCATTAGCCAGGGTGGACAGATGCACTTGAGGTCCTGCAGAGTAAGCCACAATACATGAAAGAGTGCTGATAACACTAATTACCAGGGAAATAAAAATCAAAACCATAATGAGATATCGCCTTGTACCTGTGAGAATGGCTATTTATCAGAAATCAGGAAATGATAAGTGTTGGCAAGGCTGCAGAGAAAGTTACCCTTATGCACTAGTGGTGGGAAGGAAAATTACTGTAGCCTACTATGGAAACAGTGTGGAGAGTTCTCAAAATATTAAAAACAAGTTTTATTTGATCTAGTAATTCCATTGCTGAGTACTTATCCAAAGAAAATTAAAATAGTGACTTTACTTTGTGCATATACACACTCAGCATTAATTACACTACTATTTACAGTGGCTAAGACATGGAAGCAATCTTAAGTATCCATTGATGAGTGAGTGAACAAAGAAAATCTAATAAGACAAATAATGTTTTACTTGATAATAAGTTTATGTCCTGAGAAATAGGTTCATAGGTGACTTCATCATATGAATATCGCAGGAAGTATTTATACAGTACAACCCAAATGGTATAATCTGTTGTGTATCTAGGTTATATAAAGGGACCACAGTCATATCTATAGCCTGTTGTTAATGGCACATCATACACCACACATTGTAGTAGAATATTATTTGACCACAAAGAAGGGACTCTTGCCTTTTGTGACAGTGTGGATGGACCTTGAGGGCACTATACTAAGAGATATAAGTTAGAAGGACAACTACACATGATTTCATTTATATGTGGATTCTAAAAAACAATTAGCAGCCAAACTCAGATGTGGGGTTGGGGGGTATGAGGAAGTGGTGAAATGTATGAAAGTGAGCATAAGGTATAAACGAACAGTTAAAAAAATAAAGTGAATTCTGAGGTTGTAATATATAGCATGGTAACTATAATTAGCACTGTGTTATATATTTGATAGTTGCTCAAAATGGAGGTCTTAAATGTTCTTATCACAAGAATTTATAACTGTGGATGTTCATGGATTTTTAATTAGATTTGTTATGATGATTGTTTTGCAATAAATTCAAATACCTAGTTATGTTGTACACCTGAAACTAATATAATATCAATAAAAAGCTGAGTAGCATAATGCCATTCATTATTGTACAATATAGCAGTTTAATAATTTATATTTAGAAAGTAGTATTTTAAGAACAAGGCTTTATTTATTGTTGAGTGAATAATAAAAAAGATAATTCTTTTAATTACAGAACTTCCTATGTCACATATCCATATGTTGTTTTACAGATAAAACTGAAGACAATAAATGAAAACTGGAAAAATCTTTCTAGTTCTCAAAAGCAAGTAAGTATCATTTTAGTCTCATGTCAAGGTAGAAATCTGGGATAAGGCTTATTTAATTCATGTGGGAACAACCTTAATTACTTAATAACACAGTTAAAGTATTTTCAAATTATTTTCATATTCTTAGAAGCAACTTTGTTTTTTTTCTTTTGGTAGTTTTTGACAGCAAATAAAATTGGTATTTAAGTGACATCACTCATGATAGTCCAGCTACAATCACCATTCCCACACCCAAAGCCCTGGAATTATAACAGTTTCATTTTTTTGTTATTTTTAGATGAAGTACTTTTTTTCTTATGCTGTTAGTTTTTGGACAGTATTAGATTTCTCCCCTCAGGTATGGTTCCTACCAACATCGCCCCTGTGATCCATCACCATACTCTCTTGTTCCTTCCTCCCCAGACCCCACTCCCCACCCCAGTTGCCATTTGTACCTCTTCCCCCTTCCCTGCTGGATGCCTCAGATCTGTGGTCAGCTCTGACACAAGTTGTTGTGTTTTTTCTGATCCTTTGTTTGGTTTCTCTATATTCCACTTATAAGTGAAACCATCCAATATTTATCTTTTCCTTTTATCAGTAGTGCTGCAATAAGCACAGGAGTGTGGGTTTCCTTTCAGATTTGTGTTTTTATGTCCTTTGGTAGGAGTGTTTGTATGGTACATCCATTTTTACTGCTTTTGAGGAACCTCCACACTGCTTTCCACAGTGACCAGTTTATATTCCTACCAGCAGTGAGCAGTGTAAAAGATGTTTTTTTACACATCCTTTCCAGCATTTGTTTCTGTTTTTTTTTTTTTTTTTAAGTAAGGGCCACTCTTAAAGGTGTGAGGTGGTATCTTGTTTTGATTTGTATTCCCTGACACTAAGTGATATTTTGCATTTTTTCATATGCCTGTTGGCTGTTTGTATTTCTTCTTTGGATAAGTGCCTATTAAACCTATTAAAATCTTCTGCCCCCCTCTTTTTTTTTTAAAGATTTATTTATGCATACAGAACTGGGATACAGGTCAGAGGTGCAGGGAGTGAGAGGATTCACCAGAGACAGAGTGGGGAGCAGAACAGGCAGATTGGTGAAGGGCATTGCTGAGGGGAGCAGCGAACAGGTCGAGAGAAGTCTATTCACCTCCCTGGCTGGGGATTGAACTCATGCTGCACTGGCTGCTGTAGCTTCATACTGCCAGGGAGAGCCCTCTTCTGCCCATTTTTTGATTGGGTTGTTTATTTTTGTTAAGTTGTGTGAGCTCTTTGTAAATTTGATATCAATCCCTTATCAGGGGATGGTGTGCAGTTACTTTCACCCATTCAGTAAGGTGTCTCTTCATTTTGGTTACTGTCTCTTTTACTGTACAGAAGCTTTTTAGTTTGATCCAACCTGAGCCATTTATATTGTCCTTTGTTATCTTTGCTTCTGGAGACAAGCCCTCAAAGATATTTATGAAGTATATGTCATGGAGTCTTTTGTAAATGTTTTCTTCTATATTCTTATGGCTTTAGGTGTAATTTCATTATTATTTACAAAATATATATCTTCTATTTTTTCTTACCTAACTTATTTCTTTGTATAGTATTCTTTCTCCCACCCTCCTTTGTACATGTAGAATATAGTAAGGTAAATTCTAGATTATATTATGGTTGTGTCTCAGAAGTAAATTACAAAGATTCCTCTAAAGAAATCACTTTACTGGGCCTCCCTGGTGGCATAGAGGTTAAAATCTCAGTGCTATCAAGCTATCACCAGCCACTCTGGCATGAGTTCAGTCCCTGGCCTGAGAGCTAACCCACATGACGTAGCAGACTGTTCCTGTCTTACTTGCTGCTCCCCACAGCAGTGGAAGCTGTGTAATTCAGTAGATCCACCTGTTCTGGTTCCCACTCTGTCTCTGGTGAATCATCTATCTCATCCTCCTTCCCTTATTCCCCACCCCCTGCACCTCCGACCTACTCCCCTGTGCCTATATACATAACTAAATATAAATAAAAAGTAATCTTTTTTTTTTTTTAAAGATTTATTTATTTATGCATACAGAACTGGGGTACAGGCCAGAGGCTCGGGGCGGTGAGAGGCTTCACCAGAGACAGATTGGGGAGCAGAACAGGCAGATCGACGAAGTACACTGCTGAGGGGAGCAGCGGGCGGGTCAGGAGAGGTCTGCCACACCATGTGGTCACCTCTGGGGCAGGCGGGAATCGAACTCATGCGGAAGTGGCTTTAGCTTCTCAGTGCAGTGCTTTAACCCGCTGCGCCACCAGGGAGGGCCAGTAATCTTTTTTTTTTAAGAGACCTTTAAAAAAATCAAAAAAACATTTTACAGTTAACAATTACACTTTTTCTTAGATATATATTCAACTTGCTGAAGATGATAAAATTCGTTACAACAGTGAAATGAAATCTTGGGAAGAACAGATGCTTGAAGCTGGAAGAAATGATCTCCTACGTCGCAAATCAAAGTCCCCATCAAAAATTGTCATTGATGAGTTTTAAGATAGAAGATTGAAGATTGAGTCATGTTCATAAAGGATAGACACAAGAAACCAATTACGTCTCAATACTGGAAGCTGTTGTAAAATTAGAAAGGATAAAGTTGGTGAACATTTATATTTAATTCCTTTTTCTTCAGGCCATGGACTTCTGAGAGTTAAATACTTTTTGTATTAGCATCTTGCTTTGGAAAACCCTGATAAAAGTTCATGCAAAATCATTTTGTGTTAGGAACTACTGAAGGTTGAAATAATTCATGAAATATAATAGTGAATCATTTTACCTTTGATACAGGCAAATTAGACTGTGAATTTTTTTTATACTTGGTGACTGCGGAAAGAATATTCTTGTTTCCTTATATTATGGAGGCAGGAATTTCCTGTTCTAAAGTTCCCAAATTGTAGTGTTCTGTGATATAATTGTACAATTTTTAAAGAGTCCCCAGAACCCATCTAGGTAAATTCCAATTCCTAGGTATAATTCATGCAGTATCAGAGATGATACTAGTATATGCAAAGGAATTGCTGATTTCAGTTGCAGCTTTTTATGGAGAGATTTATAAAGCTTTTCCTCATTGTCATTTTTTCCCATAAAATATTAAGAAATTATGTACCAAATCTATGCATATTGTTTTATATTGCATAGAATAAAATTTTAAATATTTCCAAATTATGTTTTAAGGTGAAATGTTCATTTTTCAATTTCTTTGGTGTGTTTCTTTATTAAGTAGGGGTTTGAGTTTTGAATTACTCTCATGTGAGCATATTTATACAGAAAGTATGGAATTTATCTGGTTTAAGTTTTAGAATGAGAGATCGAAAAGTCAAGTCTCCAAATCTCTTGACTTGGAATCTATAATTTTTTAACATTTTTCTCTAATATGCAAAAATCTATTAGTAGTAGTAATAGCCTACTGCCTATTTTTCATGACTGTGAGCTAACAATTGTTTTTTAATTTTAAATGGTTAAAGATATTTCAAGATACAGGAATATTAACACAAAGTTAATTTTCATAAATGAAAGTTTTATTAGAACACAGCTATACTCATTCTTCTATTTCATGATCTATGGTAGAATGTAATGAGGTCAGTGTTCAGTGTATTAATGTATGGGTTTTTTCAGAGTTTCTTGTTTTAGAACTGTGTCACCATTATCTTAAAAGAAAGGGGTCATATTACTAAAGAAAGAAGCCATACTCATTGTTGCCTAGTAGTGTGAACAAGGAAAATAATCTTCAGTTTCTAATTATGTTTGTAGTATTGTAAAAAAGATCCATATAGAGTAAAATGAGAATCTTTAAATTGTTTGCCATAGCTTGATAAAGTGTACCTTAAGAGTTTTCTAGTTAGCACATGTTAAAACCTTCCCACTCTATACCATTTGTTTATCCTCTAAGGGAATCAGGAAAAGAGTTTCAAAATCCACTCTACCTTATTGAGCAAAAGATTTATCTTTCACCAGCTCACAGGAAAATGGAAATTCAAAATTTATATGTAATTATGCAAAATATTTTGAAATCGTACATTCTAGTTTGCGAGAAGAAAACTGAAGACTATCTCTTGAGAGAAAATAAGTTCTTAAAAAGATAGCTTGGTGGGTAGGATACTAACGTTGACAAAAGGTAAGGACTGAAAAGAAAAATAAATTATATAGTGTGTGTGTATATGTAGTATATATATTTACATGTGTGTGTATGCATTAAATTTACATATTTAAAATTTACTAATTTTAAACAACCTAAAGCACTCAAATACTATATGTGGTTGTGTGTGACACACACACACAGTGCTGGGTGTTTTCAGACAGCTTTTCCTTATGGTTATGAACACAGGACAAAGTATGTCATTAAAAAGACAGATACCCTGAGTCTGAGCCTAGAATATTTTGAGGCAGAGGGGTTGGAAAAGAGGAAGTGTCCTGGTGTCACAACTTTCCTCAGTTGGGGTGCCAGGAAAGAATTCTATAACAGTACTTATTATGAACAATTCTTAGGGGGATGGAGAAAGTCATTACTCAAAAACTTTATTATGTTCATCGCTTCAGATGAGCACAGGCAAGTCATTTGTAATGAGACTTATAGAATGGGTGAGAGGTTCTTATTAGGTAAATACCTTGCAGGATTAATGTATAAAACAGTTCTTGCAATTATTTTCAATGCTTTTTTAGCATTTTAACTATACTATTTTGTAATGAGTACATTCAAATAGTGTCTTGTCAAATATATGGGAAGTTAGGTGTCTCATAAGTTCTCAAGTATTAACTAATTATCGGGAAAAAAGTGAAAAGAACTAGAACAAAACTATTTTATGATGTTAAATTTTATTTGTGTCTAAAAGGATATCATTGTCAATATTTTAACTATCAGGATAATAATGATTCCATGCCTTAAAAACTTCAGTATGTTGGAATTCTAGCATACTGTATGAGAAATGCTATCCAGTTTAATAATAAGCACAAATTTTTCTACTGTTAAAAAGAATAACCAGTGGCCACTGATATAATAAAACCTTACTTTTAGACTTAATCCAACAAAGTAGTTGCTGAAGGATCTGAAGAGTGGTAGGGGGAAGATGCTGAGGAAGTAAGACAAAGCAGTATTCATGCTGTTTGAGCAATTAATCATTAAGAGATTTTTGTACTTTTTTCAATGGAGTTACCAGTATTAGAATTTTTGAAATAATGTGATGACAGGAGGGTTGTGTGGTCATTTTACTTTCTGCTGTTTGAAAGGGTATTGTATACAAATTCAGCCTCCTGTATTGTAATTTTGCTATTGTTTTTGGCTAATTTCTTTTTTGGGAAATGCCATTTTACAACTCATTTTTTAATAGTTGCTCTGAATGTAAATGTTTAAGTTTATTAATTAAAATATTAATATAAATGGCCTTAAAACAACTGGGAAATTTTATTCACAGATTTTTCTGATGTTGACTTTACCTAAATTTAATTACTACCAGATTGAACAAAAGCAGAAATTTTTACAACATTGAATAATAGTATTATTCTTAATTTTATCAATATTTACTAGAGAGTATTCTCTCTGCTGATAGACACTCTACTGCCTCTTCATAGCACCAAGCCCTTTCAAATTTGAAACTGTAGTAAGAGTGTGTTCTGAAATTTTAAAGCACCAATGTATTTCCTGAAATAGAACCATTAAAAAAAATAAAATGAGCTTATTACTTTCTAAAACTTTCCAAGCAGAAAGTAAAGTTACACAAAGCTAGTAACATTAGTTTCTCACATTTTTCACCAATAAAGTACTTTTGATTGACTAAATTATCATTGGATTTAATGAGAGCTGTAAAGCACTAAAACACTTTCTAGTACATTTAAAAACACTAAAATTGACCCTGAACAAAAAATTTGAATAAGCTAAATATTTTTAAATCACTCTTAACATTTAAATCATGCTTATGTAATGGTTTTGGATATTTATAAGTGATGTATGAGAAAATGTTTCCCTGTGTTAACATTTAATCTCATAGATCACGTTTAAGAGAGGGGAAGGAAAAAGGAATGTAGTTTTGACACAGTGATGTTTTATTATATAGGTAGCCAACTTAATTTGGTTAATTTGGCTATACCTACCTCAGATTTTACTGAAACATTTTTTTAACTGGAACTGTTTTGCATTGAGTGTTTGGAAGGGCTAAACAGTGAGAGGAAGGTTCCAAATTTATTATTCATAAATTGTTGAAAATTCAGCTTTCTACTCACTATTGGATTTATTTCCTCAGTCACCAGTCTGATGTGTAAACAGAATTTACTGGTGAATAGATACTTAGACATGTTGGTAGTTTTTCCAGCTGAATTTATATTTTTGCTGTAAGACTACTGAGATAGGGAGTAGTAGAGGTATTTTAATGAAATTTTGTCTTGACTTTGTAACATCTGGATTTATGTATACTTAGCATATTAGTCAGACCTAATTAGACAATTCAGATATTTCCCCAAAGATATTCCATCACCCTCAGTTTTTACTTTTGCAATACTCCTTGTATTTTGTAATAGGAGCCTGAGTGGCAGTTTCAATGGATGTGAGACATCACAGCACTTAGCCAAAACTATTATTGCAGTGTTGTCTTGGATTTAAAAGAGAAATTTTTTTTTTTTTTTTTAGATTTATTTAAGCATACAGAATGGGCAAGAGGTGCAGGTGTGTTAAAAGGATTCACCAGAGACAGTGGAGAGCAGAACAGGCAGATTGACTGACGAAGTACACTGCTAAGGGGAGCAGCAGGTGAGATAGGAGTGCCCTCCTGTGCCATGTGGATCCCCTTCTAGCTAGGGATCGAACTCACACTGAAATGTCTGTGGTTAGCTTCCCAGTGCTGTGTTTCTATTTCTTTAGTCACTTTTATAAAATTTGGAGAAAAAGAAGGGATGAGGCCTTTACATCACTTTCAACCCTTTTGATTAATGTTTTTAGAGGGAGCAATAGTTCTAATAATTTTGTTTATATGCTTTTTAACCACTGAACAACAGATGGATTAAAAAAAAAATCAATTCCCATTTTCTATTAAAAAAAGGAGAGGACCCTCCTTGGTGGCGCAAAGGATTAAAGCATAGCACTACCGAGCTAGCCACAGCTGCTTCAGCACTGGCAGGAGCCAGGGAGGTGACCCACATGTCGCAGTAGACATTTCCTGTTCTGCCCCCCATTCTGGTGAGTCCTTACCACCCCTGCACCTCTGGCCTGTACCTCAGTTCTGTATGTATAAGTAAATAAATCTTAAAATAAAAAGAAATAGCAAATTTAGTAAATAAAAAAATAGCATCAAGGTTCAGCAGTTAAAGCTCCACACTAAAGCCACTGGAGCACCAATCTGATCCCTAGCCAAGGAGCTCTGATCCACATGGTGTGGCAGATCTCTCCTGATCGCTTTCTGCTCCCCTCTCTGTGTTTCAGTGCATCTGCCTGTTTTGTTTCTCACTCTGTCTCTGGTGAATCCTCTCACCTACCACACCTCTGGCCTATACCCCTGTTATGTAAGCATAAATAAATAAATCTTTAAAAAAAAAAAAATAAATCTTTTAAAAAAAAAGATGTATATGGTGGAGTAAACAATGAGACACTTGGTGTCATTATGAGCAAACCACTTAAGGTGAGTGAAGCAACATAGGAGTCTTGTTCTCAGTAGTGAGGCCTAACAACAAAAGTTAACCCCCAGTGTGGTTGAAAAGAAAGGATTAGTTGGGGTAGGAGAGGAGTTTACAAGTGGGCAGGCTAAAGAGAGTTTTGTTTCTCCTACAGCAGAGTGACAGGTTGCTATAAGGTGGACTGTTAAAACTAAATACTGACTCTCCAACCCTTGTTCAGTAAAATCAATTCTAGAGCTTTTAAACATGCAGATACTCACACCAGAATCTGGAGGGTAGACTGGACATTGATATTTTTAGTTTCCTCAGTGAGAGTCTGGCCAGAAGAATGAAGACATTGGGCTCACCTACATAAAAGCAATGGGTCCTAAATGGCCAGCCAAGCACTAGTGTGCTTCAAGAGGGAAGACATAACAGAAGGGGTAGGGAAAACTGGATTTAGTTGTGCTTGGAGCTTTACTAGGGCAACACAACCTAAGAGAGTTAGAGGCAGCTGCTGTATCAAGCCTCTG